AAAGACATGAAACTAGAAAAAAAGGGAGATTAAGGTGGAAAGAGATTTAAAGGATAAGCAGAATAAATGTGAGCCGACCGATGGTAAAATAGACAAAAAAACAGCCAAAGAACTATCTGGATGCAGTGATTTCATCGGATCCAATTATGGCCAAAGAATAAAAAAATGGTCAGAGGATAGCTAAATTTACAAAGTCTGATGTTATTGAAGAGATTCATGTACAGGATAAGGCTGTAGTCTGTTGTGTCTTAGGGGAAAGCCCCCCCCCCCCCCTCCAAGGACTTTGTTTCCAGAACATGGAAGGAGTCTCATAGAGGATGTCACTTTACCTCAAAGAAGGTCAGTATGTAGTTTGATATGATAAATTAGAAGAGAGTGAGGAAGTTGTAAAACACAGATACTATGTGTTTGACAACAACCTAATGTTAGTTTAGTTCTCTAATCTGGGAATGAAATGCTGTAGGACTTAGCAAGTTAGGAAGTATTATTCGCAAGCCTGTAAAACGGGTTAAAGCTAAAGCTAAGCGTACCAAATGGTGTTATGCTAGGATTCAGATTGAGGTGCGGATTCAACAAGGCTCCCCCGATACTATTCAATTTGTTGATGAGGAAGATGATGGTATGAATAGGAGCATGTTTAACGTGTTGCAAGATTTAAAACGGATAAGAGCTCCCATAACTACACTCCATAAGGATAAATTTTGCCTGATCCATACGCAAGTTGATGAAATTAGAGATGAGTTGTATAAGATTAAGAAGGCTATGAAAATGAACCCTCATAATCTGAGTTTGAAGGAAGCAGAGAAAGAGATGGAAGATAAGTTGTATATTAAGATCAAAGCTTCTCATGATTTGAAATGTTAACAAACTAAACTTAGTGGGATAATACTATAATAGAAAGGTAATCAGAATTTCAGGCTTTTCTTTGCCATTGCAAAGAAGAGAAAGATTCATAATTTCATTGTCTCCAATCAAAATGAGGCTGGTATGGTAGTTGAAGGTCCAAATAGAGTTGCAGGTGTAATTATAAAATTCTACAGGGACCTTAATTCTGGGTACAACAATCTACACTGATGAGGTTAGTATTGAGGTTATACAAAATGGGGATATGCTTTCTATAGAACATTATATGGGACTTTATTAAAAGTTTCAATCCCCAACAAATCAAGGATGTCCTTTTCTCCATTGCCAATACAAAGAGCCGGGGTTGTGATGGATTTCACAGTGGGTTCTATAAATCAAGATGGTACGTCTTGGGGATACAACCTTCCTATCATACCCCTTGGTTAGTTCTTTGCACATCAAGACATTATGCAGTAATTATCTGCCCTTAACAAACGCTCCTTAATTTAGGTTCACAATATAGGGCAACCCTGCTTTAAGTATGCTATTTAGAAGTTTAGGCCTGTAATCAGCTGGATGAATATGATTGTCCACCTTTGGTATAACAGAAAGACTAGTAGCATTAATCTCTTTGAGGGCTTTACTTGTCTTAAAGAACTCCAGGGTTGCATTTACCAGTAACCAAAACAAAACAAAAAAACAAAAGGCGTTAAAAATGTTGTAACCAAATTCTGCATTTTGGGCCTACTTGACCCTGTTTGAGTGTTACAGACCAAACGGAAGAACTCAACCCAAAAGACTAGTCTGATAGGTAAGGGAACTCATTTGGCCTATAAACCCCACATTAATTGCGCATACAACCGATGTGGGACAAGTCTCATACCTTGCAATGGTTTCAGTCCATAACATTGATCCCAGATCTATAACTGTGCCTTGGATCAAGTTCATTAAGGAATGACAAGTAGCATAAACAAAAATTATATAAACAGTTACTACAAAATACGGAGTATTTTTAAATTGAGATCCTTAATTTAAAAATACTGAACAACAATATACAGTAGCATAAACAAGTTTTTGTACGAACCATTATTAAAAAATATCATGTGAATAAGCCTAATTCATTTATATGCATTTTGTATCTATTTAATTTTAAATATCCATTCAAATCTCCAAACTCAAGTTGAAGTATTTTTGGATTCAAAAATAACAAATAACGAATCAGAAACCATGTGGGGTAATAAGATTGGGAGGAAAAAGGAAGAAACCTGAATGGAAGTAGCCAAAGGTTGAGGGACTGGAATGGAAGCTGCCGGAAATCAGAAACGGGATTGCTGCTTCTAGACAACTCGACCCATTCGCTCGACCCTATTGCTGCTCTCAAAATGTGGGCTCACTACCATTTCCCCTCTTGGGCTCGCCAATGGCACTTTTTACCCGGCCCATGGGTCCATACAGAAGGTGACAGAACCGTGATCCGTGACAGAGCCTTAATTGGGTTGGGGGTGCTCGCCAACGGCACTTTTTACACGGCCAATGGGTCCATACGGAAGGTGACGGAACCGTGATCCGTGACAGAACCTTAATTGGTTCTATTCTTTTGTGTTTTTTTGCTCTTTTTAATGCTTATTTTTATACATTGGAGTCAATTATATAATATTTTTTCCAAAAATTTTTAGTCAAAAAACAATTCAGAACCTGAAATGCCTGGAAGCGCTTGTTTCGGAATCTTATCCTATCCTATCATATCATATCTTATCCTATCCTATCATATATCCTATATATATGTAAAATAGGGTTTATTACTTGTAGTGTTGACATGTGTCATATGACATGTCATTTTTCCCCTACGTGGCAGCCAAAGTGGATCGAATTTATTACTTGTAGTGTTGACATGTGTCATATGACATGTCATTTTTCCCTTGCGTGGCAGCCAGAGTGGATCGAATTTTGTTTAACGTCCCAGCATTCGGTCCTTTGCATCTGTCTCCCAACTTGTAGAAAACACTATGCCGTCGCTGAGTTTCGCAAATCGTAATTACTCGCCGGTTACGCATCAAATTAGTGGTCGGTTACATACGAATGCCAGGGGTTTCGCGTTTCCTGTCTTTCCCGCTGTCCTTTATCCGATTGCAGTATGTTAACCCTGCGTTTAAGGTGAGTGATATTTATTTTTTTTGTGGAAATTGGTGTATTAACTTCGATTGAATTCCAATCATGGGCGTTTGTGGCTTTTCGGTGACTAGGGTTCTGCCAATGTTCTCCCCATCTATATATACATACATGAATTGGGTGTGAACTTGCAATAACATATAATGAGTTTACAAAGAGATTTAGTGTCATATAAGTTTCGTATTTTTTCCCACCATGTCTTCACCCATGTGTAGTTTATTTGGCAAGAAGATGGATGATCACATTGCTATCCAGAGACTTACACGTGAGTCGAGCAATTGTGAGATTAAGGCGCGTGTTTCTCGAATGTGGGATGCATACAATTTGAAGAATAAAAATGATATAATTAGTATGGATATGGTGTTGATTGATGAGGAGGTAATGTTTTTTATTTTGGTTTATGACTTTGTTATTTTCTGTTTTAACATGTGTTGTTCTTCTTAAGGGGTCATATATCCATGCTAGCATCAAAGGAAGTTGGGCACATTTGTTTCGTGGTACAATTGTTGATGGTCGTGTTTATTATATTAAGCATTTTGGTGTGGTTGACAACAAGAACCGGTATCATGTTGTGGGAGACAACAAATTCATGCTCCACCTGTATGCAAATTCTACTCTTATACCACTTGCTGATGAAACATCAAACATCTCAATGCATCACTTTGACCTACTACCGTTTGATATGGTTCACACAAGAATGGGCCAAGATTATATCCTTACAGGTTGTGTAAACGTGGCCTGAATATATTTCCCAAGTTAAATCTACCTTTCAATATACCAACAACATTTATATATGTGCAGATGTAGTTGGACGTGTTTGCAGCGAGGGCAAGATCGAGGAGAAGGCCATTTTTAACCGTATGGTCCCATTCCTTATGCTAGAACGGCAGGATGTGAGGTTAGAGCTACTTAAGAACTATATGTGTATATAACCCTATAGTCCCATGCATTGGATATATATGTGTGTCTCTTTCAAGGAAAACAACATTTGATGTGAATACATTATATTGATATATACATGTATTTTCGTATTTAAATACATTACATTTTATTATGCCGAGATTGAAATCTGAACTCCCTTACTAAAACATATTCATTATTAATTTTTATGATGTGTTTGTTTTATTTAGATTTGTAATCCCACAAAATATGGTTATTCAGGGATGTAAAAATGAGGCTGACTCTTTGGGATGATTGTATTGCGACTTATATCGACCAAAAAAAGGACCAAAGGGAACATTATTGCCGGTGTTTTCACATCTAATATTGTCAAGGAATTCATGAGTACGAAATTTGTATTGGAAATCATTAAAATTAAATATATATATAAACATTCACTGTTTGACTTTTAATGTGTGTAATCACAGAGTCTCCTACTTTATCTTCTACCACGGTGTCAAAAGTGTTCTTGAACATTGTTATTGATGAAGTTTTGGGCTTGAAAAAGAACAAGTATGTAGTCCTTTTTAGTACATGAAAAATAAACTCCCTTGCGCAAATATTGACCATATTTTCACACACCTTCCTAACCTTACAGTGTTTGGGGCAAATGAATCAACAATGCAACCACTGATATTGTAGAGAGAAGTTATCAACAGAGACACTATTTTAGCCGTTTTGAAGAACGTTTCTGAGATTCTTCGTATTGCTACCTCTAATTTTGAGATTGTACGTATACGGATGCTACATTTACACATTCATTAATACTCATGTATATCCTATGTTTTAGTTTATTCTTTTAAACATGTACAGGGCACATCTTATTTTTGCCATGCTTGGATATATGATATCAACAAGAACAGTGGTTGGTATTACAATTCATGCCGCAATTGCAAACGGTTGATCAAAGCATGTGGAGACAAGTTTTGGTGTAATAAATGCCAAAAAGTAGTGGATGATGTTCCGAGGTATGTTCGCGGCTTGGTGATATAAGTTTATTAAAGTTCCCTTGAAGAAGATATGACTTCAAACACATGTGATATAAGTGATGATATGAATAAGTGATGCTGTGATATAAGTGCTGCTTTGAAAATATATATACGCAGTTCATGGGACATACCTGGATTTCAAAACACATAAAATACTCACAGCTTTGGTTTCGGCAGATATCGTATAGATGTTGGGGTTAAGGATGACAGTGAGGCTACAAGGTTTATAATCTTTGACGAGGAAGCTGAGAAAACTATTGGTCAATTGGAAATGAGCGTGTATGATATAGAAGACAAAATGGAGGTAATTTCCAAGATCAGTAAATGTGAAGATGGTATCTCCCTATTCCACATTTTTTTAAAAACAAAATTAATATTTTAGGGTAATGAATCGGAGGGAGACTTGCCAGCGTTGATTGCCAACATTATTGGTCGTTGTTATGTATTTCGTGTTAAACTTACCGAATATAACAAGACTGCTTATAAGCAGAGTTTCACTGCGACCAAGGTCTTTCCCAAATCTTATTTGGGAAATAATGATAAATCCCAGGTAGAGTAACTGAAATATGTTCCATACTCCTTATTTACATCCATAAAATGTAATGTTTTCTTATTCATTAATTGTAATCAAGTATATTAATCGCAAGAAATGTGCCGACGCATCGAGCAGTGGCGTAAAACATTCAATGGATGTCTCCCCAAGTAAAAAGTGCCATTTAAGGTCTGGAATTTGTTCTCTCACTTACTAGCAGATTCAGTGACACTTTCCATATTCAATATTGCTTATTTATTTTAGTTATACACAGTGAGAACTGTACTCAGCGTGAGGGGAAAGCGCCACGACTTCAGCTATTGCTTTATTGTCTTCATATTTAAATTCAAGCAAATAAAGAAGTTTCCCACATACAAGTGAATCTCTTGATAAGATGATTTCATGTGGGTAGGGAGGGGGCGAGA